GAAGTCCGTGTTAAAGAACACATTCCATGGCAAAGAGCAGGACGCGGAAACGCGGACCGCGCGTGTCCAGTTCATAGGCAGGCGTGTCCTTAAGCGCGTGTGCACGCAGGCTGTGTGGGGCTCGGGGGCTGCTACTCAGAAGACCCTCACTGATGTCACTGTACTACTCAGTCACCCGCCGACCCCCTGCACCCGGTCCAACAGAACTTCATCGGAAGCGATGTCTGTGGGGTGAGTCCTTCTTGATGGGACCCACTCGGGGGTCACAGTCCCACGGGTTTTCCCCCCCATTATGTCAACTGGGCATTGACGTGCGCATTTGAGGGAACTGGCCACCACCACAGTCCATGGGAAACCATGTGAACTTCACTCAAAATGTATTAAAATCACCTCCATTCCTTCCCATTTTCCTCCTCTCGTTTCAATCAAGATGAGCTTTTAAGAGCAACGACGAGAGAGCCATGGTCTGGGGTCACCTTCTGCCCCGAGACCCTCACGCCCTGAGGGGTCGCTCCTGTGTGGACCACCCGAATTAAACTTGTCACCTGAGCCACGTGGCTGATGAAAGTGCCACCCTCTAGAAATTTCGAGTAAGAATCACTCAAAACATAGGCCAATTACAAAGGGAGAGTTTTATGCAACACGCAGGCTAGCCAACATCTCGGGAATATACACACTGAGAATAATTTTCTAATTTTTAAAATTGTTTTGACATCATAGCAACATACAAATGAGAAAAGTGTCTAGTGTCTTTAATGCTCTGTTACCGTATTTTTAATGTTCAGTTACCGTCTGTCACACATCCCGCGTCCGTTCTCCCAAATGCCCGCCAGGAAGTCCAGCGAGGACGCCAGCCTCCTGCAGGGAGGGGCCCACCGCGTGGACAGAAAGGGGGAGTCAAGATGTATGGGGTTTGGGGAGCTGGGCTGCAGCGGTGACGGCAGATGCTTCAGGTGGGGAGGTGGTGGGACCTGAACAGGATTCCTTACCACACTCACTGCAAACGGTCCCGCCTGCTCTCCTCCTCACGCGGGTCTGTCGTCGTCTTCTTTGGACGTAGAGCTCGTCGTCTTCTTAGCATCGCATCATTTCCCACCCAGTGTGGGATTTCCGCTGTCTCTCTCCCCCTTAGGACGCAAGCTCCGAGGGGGGCTTGTGTCTGTTTCCACTTCCCTACCAACACGACCCAGGCGCCCGAGGAGTGCCTGGCAGGGTGGGTGCCCTGTGGGTGCCTGTTGAGTGGTGTAGTCTCTTCTACTGATGGCCATTCTAGATGTTTCCTTCTACTGCGGCCATGATTACAGCAGCTGTTGCAGGAACTGCTCTGCACACATCCCCTGTGTAACTGTAAGTTTCTCTCCGATGCACACCTGCAAGGGGATTGCTCGGTGCAAGGCGGCCAGCTTCAAGGTGCTTTTGAACTGGTTTGGGAAGTCTCAGATCCATTCTGCATCGGCCATGGAGAAGCAGTCCTTTATAGACATGCAGAAATACCTGTTGGCAGAGAGCAGTGATGAAGATAAGCTGGCCCCAGCCAGTTTGGCTCAGTGGATAGAGCGTCGGCCTGTGGACCAAAAGGTCCCAGGTTCAGTTCTGGCCAAGGGCATGTACCTTGGTTGCAGGCTCCTCCCCAGCCCAGGCCCTGGTCAGGGCTTGGGTAGGAGGCAACCAATCGATGAGTTTCTCTCACATCAATGTTTCTCTCTGTCTTTCCCTCTCTCTCCCACTCTCTGTAAAAATCAATGGAAAAATATCCTCTGGTGAGGCTTAACAACAGAAATAAATAACTAAAGATAAGCTGGGTCTTATTGATCAGAGTGATGATGCCTGGATGTGATTGTGTCGAGTCCCACTGCTGACTGAATGCGGTTGCTCAGCCAAGAGGCGGTCGCGAATTTTCCGTGGATTCTCTCAACACCTGACTCTCAGCCTAACTCAGAAGTGTCTCTTCAGCTCAGGGAACGGAGCCTCTGGTCCGCCCGGCGGCACCGAGTGGCAGGAGCCCACCCGGCCGCTCGCAGAGCCGGCCTGCAGCTGTGCCCGCTGGCGTGTGCTTAAGGCAGCTGTTCCATGTGTGGCCGCATTGATCACATGGAATCAGCACTTATTTTCTCTGCCTTTTTCATCCTTAGCCAGCTTCCTTTTCCAAGTTGTTCTTAAAGGGGAGCTAGACGGCAGCTGTCATTGTCAGGCCTGCAGGAGGGATCCGAAGCTTTGCCCCAGAGAGGAATAGCCTTCCGAGCACTTCACACCCCCCAGCAGCCAGCTGCACCCTGTGACTGCTGGGTCATGCGCCCGTCCCAGCAGCACACCAGAGAGCTGAGCTCCGTCGCCATGATCCCCCCAGGCCTGGTGCTCACGGTGTTCCGTTGAACCCCAAGGACATCACACGTGCCCCTGTAAAGATTTGCCAGGAAATTAAAAGGAAAAATAGTCACTGAAGACTCATGTGGCCTGTAACGCTTTTTATTGGATTTTATTTTCCAAATGAGCCTCCCCTACTGCACAGGGCGGCTATTGGGAAAGTCCCGCTAAAGCTTTCTGAAAAGGTTCGTTGAGTGAACCCCCGAGAGGTGTGGGGTTTAGTCTCTCTCGGTGCCTTCGTGGGCAGGACCCACCGCTTGCAGCACATTCTCCTGAGGAGGTTCCGGTTAGATCGTGACAGTCTCCGTGGCGAGGGAACAGGATAAAAGCCCATGTTGGTTACAGATGCCGAAGTGAAAATCCCGGCTTCAAAGTTACCCTTTAAAAAAATAAGAGTCCACTCTGGCGTCATGTGTTGTTGTTTTTTTTTAAATAAACATTTTAATTTACTTTTAATGCCAAACAGTCAACTTACCTTTATTTCAGGGAGCTCGGGTTTTAGGAAGCCGGTACAAAAGATGAGAAAGGCGTTTCATAACTGGGGGTCGAAGGGGAGGTAAAACAATGGAATAGTGTGTAGTCAGGATAAGTCCAGAGAGAGATGCAATTCTAATTTAAGTGGCCAAGGGAAACTAAACAGGCTTTTAAAACTGGACAAGGACAAGAAAAATAAGGGAATAACAGGAAGAGAAGGGTCCACGCAGAAGAAGAAAGCACAGTGTTAGCAGGCAACGAGGCCCCCAGCTCCTGTTTTCCTGGCAAAGAGAACATTTCCCACATCAGAGAGGACAGAACAAGAGACTTCAGGAGGAACTTACACTAAAGAAAAGTGAGGGCAGAACCAGGACCCCTTTCCTAAGTGTTTGGACAAACACTCCCTGAGCGTCATCCCCGAGGCACTGCCGGGATCTGTGAGACGCCAGAGAGTAAGACTTGGATTTTTTTTTAACTTTTCAAAATGGGATTTAGAGGTAGAATTTCGAGGTGGGACGTGGCTTACTCAGCTCTGCCAGCTGGTTCATTTACAACCTGCGTGACCAAGGTGAGTCACCTTGAGTATGACAGAGCGGCTGCAAGTAGGAAACAGCCCATTCTCCTCCCTTCCAATCCCCCCTCCCCGCCCCCCCATCCCCAACGCAAACCAGGTCAGCCCTGGTTAAACAGAATCGCGCCTCATCAGTTCTTCCCTTTGGCGTCTTTCTGGAATATTTGCTTTTGGCTGCAGCTTGTTTGCCATGCGCATCCATCTGTTGACTGTGTATTCAAGCGATGCCTTCTGTGTGCTCTGGCTGACCCAGCGGCGGAGCAGAGGGCATGGGAAGTGGTGGCTAACTGGCCCTTTAATCTGAAGTTTGAGTTGGTTTCCCTTTTGCATGTTTGGATAAGTGGATGTGTTTGGGGGTCTTGGCTCAAGTTATTTTCATTATTGCCCCAACGGGTGAAATTTGAAATGGCCAGTGAGATTTAAAACAAACAAACAAACAGAAAAACCTCCCAGCTAGTTTGATGGTAAAAATATGTCATACAGCTTTATGATAATCAAATAAAAATATCAGATTGCTTATTAATCACTTTAGATTACTGTAGTGAATAAAGGAATAAATAAGTTAATAAAAAGACAGCAAACGTAAAGCCCTAAATGTAAACTATCCATACTTTTCTGGGAATATATGACCTGATGATATGTATAAATGCATATAGTATACAGGGGTGGGCAAAAGTAGGTTTACATAATACAAATAAATAACACAACAATTAGTAAATAAGAATAGAAGAATAAACTCCTTTCGCATACTCACAGCTGTAAGGCTACTTCCTCCCCCCCTGCACATACATTTATACATCCGTTTCCATATGTATGTACTTGATAGTCTGGTGTCCCTCAGCGTGCTGTCACAACAAGTCTCAGTTATTTAGTTGCATCCTGGGCTTTTTTAACTAAATTGGCCTCTAAAATCTTGGGGGTTGGGGGAATAAATGGTATTTCTGGGACACCAGCAGAACAGCCATCTCAGGCCCCGTCTCACAGGTACTCCCAGGTCTCACAGGTACTCCCGCGTCTCACAGGTACTCCCACGCTCCAGAGACTGGAACCCCCTCTGCCTGTTCTTCTCTCGTTCGTGTCACAACCTAAAAGGTGACTCCTTGCTCCCAAAGACAGCTGGGCCTCAGGAACCGATGCGAGGCTGTGTCTCCACCGCCGTCTTTGGTTGAATCGCAGGCAACCAAGTGACCCAGAACCTCGCCCCTCACTGAGCCGATAGTCACCTGAATCGCCACTCTGAACCGAGCCACTTCCCCCAAGGCCCTCCGTGGGAGGAGCTCGGCCAAGTGGTCTTCTCGCGTCAAGCATCGAGGTCTCGTCTCTATAGTCTCGGACGTGCCTGGCGCCATTAATTTACGCTTTTCACCAAAACCCTTCCCTCAGGATGTCCATTCATTTTAGTGTCTGTTGCCAGGGGTGACCATCACCTGGTCCTACTTGTGAGCTACTCTCCCAGAGCATGAGATGCTATGACAGCAAGGGCTCTATCCAGTCGCTTAAAGAGGAAGACCATGTCCCACATGACCCAACATTCAGAATTGGAGCCGACCCCGTCCGATTCCTGTTTGTCACTGATTTCTCTCTCCAACAGCCGGCTGCCCCGACTCCTTGATCAAAGAGCTCCATCACTTCAGGGTCCTCGGGGAAGAGCAGGTGAGTGAGCATCGCCGAGGCCCCCCACCGTGTCACAAAGACTCGCTAACGAGGCGGCCTGGGCTCCCCCAGGGGGCGGAGTGTCTCCTGAGCCCGGTTGCCCGAAATGGGGGGGTGCCCTGGGGGTCTGTGTGAGGACACCCCTCCCCTGTCCGACCCACCAGGCCAGACAGGTCATTGATTGGCACACCGGCTGCCCACCAGAGCACTTCATCTCCACACCAACAGAGAGCAGGGGGACTGGCAGACAGCAAGCCAATCAGCGGACGGCTGCGTCTGAGGGACCGGGCGTCACAGACAGCCCGGCCCCTTGTCTGCGCGTGGAGGGGCCGGCTCTTCCCATGGGCGTGTGTGCTTCCTGAGCGTTGTCCACTTCCACTCCGCCACTTCCTCTGCGGCTGTGGCTGCGTGACGCATACACAGCGTGTCCCACTTAAGGCCGATTCTTTAACTTCTGTGAGAGGCATCTGATGAGAGAGAGCGAGAGAGAGAATGTGAGAGAGACACATCGATTGGCTGCCTCCCACATGTGCACTGACCGGGATCAGGGATTGAACCTGCAACCCAGGCACATGCCCTTGACTGTGAATCTAACTCTCGCCCGTCCTGTGCGCAGGCCGACTCTCTAACCACTGAACCACACCGGCCAGGGCTGTGTGTGCTTTTTAATCATCCAAAATCACCAGACGCATCAGTTACAGTATTTCTCTTCCTGTAGAAAAGGAACCGAGTGTGCCACAACCAGAACGAGTGTGGTAGAGGCATCTCCGAGCAATTCTGTAGCTAACGCACAGAGAGGCCGGGCGCGCACACGCCCGCCAGTACCCGAGACCCCCAGGGAGGAGGCGCAGGGATCCCTAAGGCACTGGCGGACTTCGTCCCTGGCTTAGCGACTTCCTGGCGGAAAGCGGTGGTCGCAGCAGAAAAATATGCTTCACTAAATGAAATAGATAATCTGCCATCAAATCAGGAAATAGCCAATTACGGGAGAACAATCTGTTTAAAATAGAAAAGTAATGTTGCAGGTGACACCATCCCTCGTCATGCTGTATTGAGTCCCTCGCCACTGATAGTTGAGGGACACTGAGTTCCTCCGTTCCCTCTGCGGCCATGTGCACCAGCTATGGGCGGACAGCGCGCTGCGTTCAGGACACAGACACGGGAATGGAGGGCGTGCAAAGGGTGCGCAGAGCAGTCTGAGGGGCTGAACCTCACTCTGCAGCTTCTCGCAGACAGCCCACGACACAGCAGCCACCTCCTCCCCTATTGCCCAGCACATTCCCTGCCCTTCTCGGCATGTTGGGTGCACTCGGGGCAAGATTTAGTAAAGGGTCCCTGAGGAGGTCAGGACGTGATCGCCAGCATGAAATCTCCCGATTATATAAACGCCTCCTCACTCCGCACGTGAAATATCTCATGTCATCCCTGATCATTGCACAGCTCGTGACATGTAGCAGACCTTTTCCCAGGAGTCCACCCGCTCCGGTTTGCTCACCTAAGCAACCTCGACCTCCTAGCCCCTCATTAACGCTGACTCCCCCTCCTGTCTCCCCGTGGCTCCCTCTGCTCCAGCGCGGCCTGCTCACCGCCCCTCAGAGGACCAGGCAGGGGCCTCGGCCTTTGTACAGCGATGCCCTTCCCCACGGCCACGTGGCTTTCTCATCTCCCAGCCTCGGTGGTGCTCGCTGAGCCTGGACTGTGCGTGTCCTCATTCCCTGCTCACTCTACACTGCGATCCGTCCGCCGGGACTCACTCTCCTCTGTGTTTATTCTCCTTCCCACGTGTCTCCGTCTGAGCCCTTGCCCTTTAATCTCAGCATTCATTGTCCGTCCGGTGGACCAGCAGGGGCATCTGTCCTGCTCGCTGCTGAGTCCCCAGCGCCACGGTCCTGCCCGGCCCAAGGCAGCTTCCCTCAACGCCGCCTAAACCCGTTCCCAGCTGAGCACACGCATGCGGCTTGCTCCCGTGTGGGGAGACCACGATCCGACGTGCGAGGACAGCACGTTAGCGCTGCCGTCACCGGGGAGGCCTGGCCCTGGCACTGGGGTCCGGGGGTTGCTCTGCCGCTGGGGCCATCCCACGGCCTGAGCCATCAGCCGCACCAGGAGGTCGGGTGGAGGCGGGGCCGAGGAAGGGACCACTGTGCTCTCGGGGCCTGTGTGCACCGCGGCCCCAACGCCCAGAGGACCCCGGGAGGAGGTGGAGCTGCCCCTCTCTGGGGAGGCTGGGTGCGTGGTGAGTGCCCTGGTGCAGGCGTGTCTGCCAGAACGTGTATAAACTAACACCATCGCATGGAGTCAGTGGGAGCAGTGTTTGCAAATAAACAAACTGTGCAACGTGTTTCTGAGGACACGTTTCCAGAAGCACCAGGACCAAGCCCCTCACCTGCTGTGCCAGGGGCGGCTGGGGGCCGGGCCGTGGGCCGCACCTTCGGCCTCTGCGTTTCTCACTGAGACGGGCAGCGCGGGTCCATCACGTGGCCTCAGCACCTCACTGTGTGTCTGTGTGTCTGTGTGTCTGTGTGTGTGTGTCTGTGTGTGTGTGAAGTTGGGGGAGGGTCCTCAGCACCTCACTGTGTGTGTGTGTCTGTGTGTGTCTGTGTGTGTCTGTGTGTGTGTGTGTGTGTGTGAAGTTGGGGGAGGGTCCTCAGCACCTCATTGTGTGTGTGTGTGTCTGTGTGTGTGTGTGTCTGTGTGTGTGTGAAGTTGGGGGAGGGTCCTCAGCACCTCACTGTGTGTGTGTGTGTCTGTGTGTGTGTCTTTGTGTGTCTGTGTGTGTGTGAAGTTGGGGGGGTCCTCAGCACCTCAGTGTGTGTGTGTGTGTCTGTGTGTGTGTCTGTGTATGTGAGAAGTTGGGGGACGGTCCTCAGCACCTCACTGTCCGGTTCTGTCTCTGCAGTACGGCCGCTACCAGCACTACGGCGCCGAGGAGTGCGTGCTGCGCATGGGCGGCGTGCTGTGCCCGCGCCCCGGCTGCGGCGCCGGGCTGCTCCCCGAGCCCGGGCAGCGGAGGGTCACCTGCGAGGCCGGCGGCCTGGGCTGCGGGGTGAGTACCGCGGCACGCGTGTCGCTTTTCCGTGTTGGCTGCTTCGGCAACTGGCGGGGTTGCCTCTGTGCTTTGTCTCATTTCTCATTTGGACTCACACATCTAACAAAAGGGTTTAAAATTCTTTTATAGGATCGCAGAGGTGATAGATAGATGATGGATAGATAGATGACAGATGATAAAATGATAGGTAGTTGATAGATAGACAAGTAGATGATAAAACGATAGACAAATAGATGATAAAATAATAGATAGACAAATAGATGATAAAATGATAGCTAGATGATAGACAAATGGATGATAAAATGATAGTTGATAGAGAGATAGACAAGTAGATGATAAAATGATAGATAGATAGACAAATAGATGATAAAAAGGTAGACAAATAGATGATAAAATGATAGATAATAGATAACAGACAAATAGATGATAAAATAATAGATAGATGATAGATATATAGATAGAAAGGGATTTATTTCTTGGAGGGGAGGGAGGTGTACGCTTTCATTGGTCTCACTGTGTTTATTCTAAGCCAGTGGTTCTCAACCTTCTGGCCCTTTAAATACAGTTCCTCATGTTGTGACCCAACCATAAAATTATTTTCGTTGCTACTTCATAACTGTCATATTGCTACTGTTATGGATCGTAATGTAAGTATCTGATATGCAGGATGGTCTTAGGCGACCCCTGTGAAAGGGTCGTTCGGCCGCCAAAGGGGTCGCGACCCCCAGGTTGAGAACTGCTGTTCTAAGCCGTGGGAACCACTAGTGAGTCATGAACTTGTCCGCTGATTCAGAGCGACAGTGGCTGGTCTCCTCTGAGCGGCTGTCGGAGAGGCGGCGGGCAGAGTCCCCGTCCACGGGGTCGGCGCAGAGCTGCCGGCCTGGTGTCTCAAGAAGCAAAAGGAAGGTTCATGTGGGAAACGTGAAATGCTGTCGCGCCATAACGATCATTCCCGGTGGCGGTGACGTTTGTGCCGAGAGCCGGCCCCCGGGCCTCGCCTGGCTGGTCTGGCCGGGCTGACGCCGGGGGAGGCAGGCGACGCGGGGGCCACTGCGCTATAAACTGGCGTGGCGAAGGGACAGCGCCCGACAGGGAACGCAGGCGGAGGGGACAGGCGGGGCTGCTGACGAACGGGCTGCGGGTGGAGGGAAACGTTCGCTCCGAGCGGCCGCATTGCCAGAACTCTGCGAGGGACGGGCGGTGGCAGGGGCACAGCCACCCGACCAGCTGAGCACGGAGGCACCCGAAGGTAAGTCGGCTCCTGTCGCCCGTACAGCCGCCTGCCTGTCATGGGGTGCACGTTGAACAAGAACGTCCCGCGGGACTCGGGGGGAGCCCTGTGGCTGGCCAGGCTGACCTTAGCTCCGGCACCTCTGCCCGTCCTGCGGAAAGCTGTCCCGAGGACACGGCGAGGGAGCCCGAAGGCGCCCCTCTGGACTCGCTGCTGGGCCCCCGCCGCGCTGCGGGCTCTCCGAGGCGTGCGCGGGGCCGTCGAAACGCACCTGGAAGCTCGTTTCCCACCCTCCTCTCTCCTCGCTCTCCCCGCTTTCTGACACGCGCCGTCTGCTGTGGTGGGACATCTGTCAGCTGCCCGGCCCTTCGGGACTGAGGATGGTCGGGGAGCCAGTGCGCTGAGGAGCCGTGGTCGGTTCGTGTCGTTTCCGCGGCAGAACAGGTCCCTGTAGGTAGAAGCTGGAGAAGTGAGTCGGCTCGTGTTTGCTCTGAGGCCAGGGGTGACCCTGCAAAATGGGCTGCGGGGGGCGGAGGCGGCCTCGTCCTGCACAGCATCCACGGGGCCCGGGGGGAGGCGGGGACACAGCCGAGGAGGAACCACAGTCCTGCCCATGGGAGCACCCAGCCCCGTCAGCTTCGGCGGCTCTCAGCTGGGACGCACGGCTTTCCCGTAAGACCCCGGCCCATCCCCTGGGCCTAGTTTTTCCTCCACCATCAACTGACCCAGAAAGCACAACGCTTGGGGGCACAAAGGGGGACGTGTGTAACGCTCTCAGCAATAGAGATTCTGTAAGCACAACTCCTATCACGCGTCTCCGAAAACACTTGACGCAAAAGTGCGCCTCACACGCCAAGAGGCTCAGAGCCAAACCCCCTCCCGTCCGTGGAGTTTAGATATGAAGCCTTAGGGGGGCTCCGAGAGGCCCACAGACACATCCTCCGTGTGAGGCGCGCGTGCGTGGGCTTCGGGCCTGCGAGGTTTTATTCTGCCCGTGGTCAGGCCCACCACGCCCCTGAGGGCCCCGCGCATCCAGGGTGGCTGGTGTCTATGGTTTTCGTCCCACAAGGCAGCCGTCGGCACTGTGACCGTCTCCGGCTTCTTTGACGTCGGTGCTCAGGTGCGTATTTGCGAGTCTCTTACTCGGGCGTCTGCGCCTGTCCAGTGGCGGTCAGAGGGCCTGGTGCTGTGCTCTCTGTCACTGGGCTTACCTGTCCCCGGGGCAGGTGTACTCGATCACCACTGAGGGCAGATTGCTGTGGAAAAGATAATGCCAGCCCCTCTAGGAGAGACCTGGTAGGCGGGGGGGTGCAGCAAACTTACCGCCATCACGAAGGATTATTCCAGGTCAGCGCCGCCTCCCAGGATTGGTGGGAGCTGGCGTGTCACTCTTGTTTCCTGTCTTTATATTTCTGTCCTCGGTGCTTCCATTCTGGTCGTTATTAAATTCATATGGTGGGGGTTCACCATTCACTGAATGAATGAATGAATGAATGAATGAATGAATGAATGTTACGCAGAAGTAATATGAAGGTGCTATCACCTTCATTTTCAAATATTAATGGTCATTTATCGAATCTTAGAATTGCTTACCTTGCCTCAACAAGAACCTCTTCAGAAAATATGAAACTCCTTCATGTACTTATACAACACTAGAGGCCGGGTGCATGAGATTCATGCACTGGGGTGGGGGTGGGGGGGTCCCATCCCTCAGCAAGGCCTGCACCCTCTCACCGGCAGTCAGACATCCCTCTCGCAGTCCAGGGCTCTCACAGTCCAGGACCCCTCGCTCTTTACCGCCCATCTGCAGGGGAGGCAGGAGAGGCTCCCGCCACTGCCGCTGCTCTCGCCAGCCATGAGCCCAGCTTCTGGCTGAGCAGCGCGCCCCCTGTGGGAGCACACTGACCACCAGGGGGCAGCTCCTGCATTGAGCGTCTGCCCCCTGGTGGTCAGCGCGTGTCATAGTGATTGGTCATTCTGTTGTTCGGTTGATTTGCATATTAGGCTTTTATTATATAAGATGCAGGGTTTTAGTTGCACACAAAACACATAATTCAGAATACCAAAGTATGTAAGTTCAGAGACCCACAAAAATTCATTAGGAACTGAGGGTACTGTAAAAGTTAGGGCTTATATGCCCCGCAGGAGGCCACGTGGCCAGGTCAAGTCATTCTGACACGCAAAGTGTGTCCGTCTCGGCAGCGAGGCTTTCGCTCTAACGCAGCCCAGAACATTCTCACAGCGACACACAGAGCTCAGTGGAGAATATTCTCGGGGGTCAAATCGCCTTACCTCACCCTCTGCCAACCTCTGATCATACTGTTACTGCTGCTCATAAAAACGTTAATTGATTTCCTGCGGAGTTGGCGTTATGCATTCTTCTTCTCTCTGGGTTATTGCCATTCGTCGGAACTGTCTCAGTAACTTTACGACTCCGAAGTAAAATGTTGACGTGTTTAATATTGGAAAATGGCAGGCAAATATGGAATACATTATAGTCACTCACCTGGGAACCCAGAAAGCTACAGCAACCCAACCTTGTGAATGTTCTGCGAATAATGCATCTTTATCTTAAAAAATCTTTATAAGCAGTGTGGTAAAGGCCTGGGGGGCTAGTGGTTCACTGGGGGAAAGGGGTACATATAATACCTCCGACAATAAAGATGTTTTTAGAAATGTAGACTCCAAACTCAGGGGGTTTATATTGTGATGTTTTCCGAGAGACGTCGGGGGGGGGGGGAGGGGGGGGCGCGCGGGTTTCCTTTGTGAGTCGTGTGGTTGTGAGCAGTGACCACGCCCGGCTGGGTCCCACCTGTGGCGTTGTTTGGGGATATTGTATGTCTGGGTGGTCATTTATAAAATAATACCAGTAATTGGATGAAGAGTCTCCTGTTTTGAATGAGAAATCCAGGGACAAGATTTAACAACTGCAAAAAAAAAAAAAAAAAAAAAAAAAAGAACCCAAACAAACAAAAAAACACCATTTAACTAAAAACCAAAGATTTTTTAAATCTCATTACTGGCCGTTAGTTACGGAAATAAAGTAGAATTTCTCAAGGCCTTGCCAGGCACTCCCTCCTTTACGGACCATCCTGAGCCGCTCTCCGGCGGTTTCCCCGGAGTCAGTGCGGCGGGGCCTGGGGCTGCCCACACGCACTGCCTCTGACCAGGTGTGCGTGTCATTGTCTCCCCTGAAGACAGTCTCAGAGTCTGCAGACCCTACAGCTACCGGGGCCCCGTCACCCCGGACCTAGACCTTCACGGTTTGGAGTGCCACCTGCTGTGTGCGAGGACATTGCGTCCAAAACGGTGGTTTTGAGCCACTCGCAGCCATGGCATTAAGACATCATGGCTTTTAGTTCAGTGAGTCCATTCCAGCCCGAACGTAGGAAAGGGGTCGATGAAGACAAATGGAGATACTAGTCTCTCATTCAGACATCGCTAGTTACTGAGTGAAAGCTTAACCAATAGATGGCAGCCAGGTGCTCAGAAAAGAAAGCAGGCAGATGGTCAGCGTGAGAAATAAAAGGGAAAACAGAGTGGTTACACTTCCTATTCGTTAAAGATACTTTAATTTTATAAATATGCATAATTTAATTCAGTTACATGAGTATTTTGAAAACTATATGGACTTCTCCCTTTTGTTGAAAAGACTAGAGATTAAAATCTGGACTCCAGTCAGCCAAGGATCTCCTATGCATATAAGCATAGCCCCGACACAGACAGCAGTGTGGTGAAGGCCTGGGGGCTAGTGGGTCACTGGGGG